GTCCTCATAGCTCCCAGCAACCCCAAACTCTTGGGCTCAAGCGATCCTCCTTCCTCGGTCTCCCCAGGAGCTGGGACTACAGGCATGCGCTACCACACCCGGTTAATTTTTCTGTTTTTAGTAGAGACGGGGTCTCACTCTTACTGAGGCTGGTCTTGAACTCCTGAGCTCAAATGATCCTCCCGCCTCGGCCTCCCAGAGTGCTGGGATTACAGGCGTGAGCCACCGCGCCCGGGCTAAAAGCAATTTTAATAGCGATACTTTTTAAACACATGACATTTACCTCTCTATTCTTCATTTAATGTATCCATATAGATACCAAAAAGGTTTTTTTCAAAGATATTTATGTTATTCTGTCTTCTCCATTATATCTTCCTTGATTTAGTTCTAGAAGAAGCCCTGGGAGCCAAAACTGCAAGTGTGATTTCTGAGAATACTCCATGCAAAACAGAGGTAAGGGTCGGCTACTTTATTTGTAGAGGGAAAGTTTAAAACTTTGGGAATTTAAGGAAAAGGAATGCAAATCTTTACAAACAATTGCACGGGGACCATTAGAGCAAAACCGGGGTGTGCTCAGGTGTGCTTCCTGTGGCACTGCTGAGTGCACAATTAGATTTCCAAAGCATGTGTCATCGCTTCAGAGGAATAAAGCCAAAGACCCATTCTTACAGGATCATTCCCGTATGAGAAACAAAAACAAAAACCAACCCTCAGGCCTGCAAAGAGGGCCTTCGACATGGAGAGATGATAGCCACGGCCCGAGCCCCTTCCCGTGCGCTCTGGGGGCCGCCTGTGGCTCCCACACGCTGCTCTTCCACGTGGCCCCAAAGCACCAGCGTCAGTTCTGAAATGAACTTAACACTACCCTCAAAAGGCAGCAGGGCCTGGGAACCATCCGGCACCCAGTGGCCTAGTTCCTGCATTTGATGTGCTTCCAGCGAGGGCTTTTCCACTCTCCCCTCGCACTGCCTGCGGTGTGAGAAAGAGCACCCCGGGTCAGGGAACAGAAAGACGAAAACTCGAGAGGCTTTGCTGCATAATTTGTTGTTTGTTCATGACTTAGATGCATAAAGGAACATTCAGTGCCTGGAGCCGGCCCGCACAGCCAGGCCAGTCAGCAGAATCTTTTTTGTGATTGGAAAACCTCGGGCTATTTGAGTGGGAGCGGATCATCTGCCAACAGGGTGGCTTCTGTGTCCTCGAACAGCACAGACCAATTACAGGAGTCAGCTAGCATCTGATTTCGAGAGTAGCTTCCCAAGTCTAAGACAGAATCACAACTGTATAAAAACTAGTTCTCCAAACGTTGAAAAGCATCTTGCAAAAAAAAAAAAAAAAAGAACAAGGGAAATCCCACTTTGGAGTTAGCAAGTTGTCACACATTCCTATGACACCTTGACCCGAGTCCCAGATTTTATGTTGACATCACATTTCAGGTGTCTACTGAAGATACTAATAAGGCGGTTAGGAGGAACAAGCAGTATGGTTTTGCCTTGCTTTTCTGTGTTTTTTGTTGGTTGGTGGTCCGTTAAGTCAGTCCTGTGGAGGCAGGCTGGTTCAGAGGTGGGTTTGTGCCTGTCCTGCAGGTGCCGAAGGAAGCACACCTGGAATTGCTCAGTGGCGACGCTGACTCCAGAGAAAGTTCCAGCAGGAAGAGAAACGGTGCGTGCACAGACAAACATGCCCTGCTCAGCAAGAGGCTCAAGACGTGAACGATTAGCAGTTTAGAGCAAGATACACGTCCAGAGTCACAGAGAGTGAGCGGATGTGTCTCGTCCGTTAGCTCCATTGTGCTCTAAAGCCGGAACTGTCACTCAGCTTAGATTTGTAGACAAAAAGGTAAATTAATAACAAGAATAAACCAAGTGGTAACCAAACCACGTCAGGATTATTAGTTCGGCCTCTGGCCTATTAATTTCTTACTTGAGATTTCTGAACGTACTTAATTATTCTACTAAATGTAAACTTGCAAATTCAAAATTAAGTCGGTAGTTTTGCTTCTCATGTTCTAGTGTTTGAAATCCAAGAGCGCAGTGCACTACCGCAGCACGGAGGGAAAAAGAAAAGAAAAAAGAAATTAGAGAGCAAAGTATAATAGGGCCCTTCGCTTTGGAGATTTAGTGCCTTAAATGTGAATCCTATAATGATTTCATATATAAAAGTGTATTTATTGACTGTAATAAAACAAAAGATGATGTAAAAAAATTTTATCAGAAAAGTGTTTTCCCTTCTTTTGCAGAGAATATTAAGGGTTAGGGTGGTAAAATCAAAGACATTCAGGAAAAATCACATACAGCAAATATTAAAAAATAAACCCACGTAATTTTTATTACAGGACATTGTTATAATTTTTCTGTTTTATTGTTA